GTTTAATAGAACAAAGTGTTCTTGCATTGAGGGAGTACTTGAGTGGAGGCCCAATGTCCATCTGCTACCTTAATACTAACCCTATAAATATATGCACATAGATATATTTCCCCATTATCATATATAAATATATGTCTGTAAATGCCCTTTGCCTTCTAGTTCTTTCCTCTATTTCCTTTTACTTTCTTCTTGTGCTCCACTCTCTCTTCCTCCCCCTTCATTTGCTCCCCTGTGCTCTGATCAGACATGTCCCTCTCCCTGAGCTGTAGCTTCAGTGCTGTCCCCTAAAGTAAATTCTTCTGGGTGGGGGCGGGAGGGGCAGCTGTCCACATAGTCAGATCTCTCCACTGGTTCCCTGCTTCATGCCGGTATGGGTATGTTGCATTCGCATCTTGGGGCACCGGGTTTAAGTCTGGTGTGGAACTTTATTACCATTTATCTGAAAATGTTTTCATTTTTACCTCATTCTTTAAGGGACCGTCTTGACAGTTCTCTTCTTCCACCAGCACTTGTAAATGTCTCCTTCCATTGTCTTCTGGCTTGTACAGCTTCTCAGAAATCAGTATTTTATATTTATTTGAGTCTCTGTTGCTGCTTTCAAGATTCTTTGTTGTTTGGGAGCTTGATTGTAATGTGGATGGGTGTGGATCTCACCGGGTTTGCCTACTTGATGTTTGTTAAGCTTCTTGGATTTGTAAATTCATGTTTTTCATCATGTTTGGGAAGTTTTCTGCTATCACTTGTTTTCTAAAATTCTGTCTCATTCTCTTTCTGCCAATCTCATGCTGTCTGTATTGGCTTGCTTGATGATGTCCCGTATTTCCACAGGTTCTGCTTAGGAGTTTTTATCCTTATCTTAGGTAAGTAGTGCTGCCGTACAGAAATGGCAGACAATGAACAGTTCTGGGGGCAAAGTCAGGGTTGCCTTGTCTCTCTCAGCTTTAAGACACGTGTGTACCGTCTACAGCCATGCCACCCTGACCGCGCCCGATCTCATCTGATCTCGGAAGCTAAGCAGGGTTGGGCCTGGTTAGTACTTGGATGGGAGAACCTTGTGTCCCTGGGTTTGTAGATGCCTCTGTTGATCTGGTGTGGGACCCACCCCACATGGCATGTAAACATGAGCACAACAAAAGAAGCCCTCCATTTCCAAACAGGGTCACATTTACAGATACCCCCAAACCTAGTACCATCGAGGCAGTTCCAGTAGATGGAGACCTACAGAGGTTTGAAGGGTGCAAATCCTTATGGGTTCAGACTGCCATGTCTTTCCCCTGAAAGAGTGTGTGGTGCTTTTGCTCCTGACCTTTGGGGCAGCTGCTGGGGCATTTTAACCACCCTGCCTTCAGGGATCCTTTTGACCAGCACAGGGGTTGGGATTTCCACACGTTTTAGGGAGGTGCATTCTGATCAGTAACCGTTCTTCTGTCTTGTTGTTGATGTTCTGTCTTGTTGATCTTCAGAATCTGTCATTTCTATTACACTATCCTCTAGTTCCTG